CTGTTTTTTTTTTTTTTTTTTTTTTTTTTTTTTTTTTTTAAAGAAAGTGAGGTACAGGGTTGAATTGCTTTTGCATTACACCAAGCAACAGGGATGTCAAACTTATTTGGCCTTGCAGGCTAGATGAGTGTCCCTGAGCTGATCTATGGATGGGCCAGACCAGGACTGTGACACCCTGTGCAACAGCTGCAGCACCAGGTCCAGGCTGCACATAGCATGAACCAGCCCCTGGGGCTAGCACAGGGCTGCAGACAGCACAGGAGATGGTCTGGAGCACTCTGCCTTACTGTAACCCCTGCATGCCGGCTTTGCATCTGGCAGGGTGCCACATGGAGCATGTGCTCTATGCCAGTCCCCTGCACCCTGGTCAGTGCACAGTCAGTCCAGCCCATGTGTTACGTGCAGTACATGCCAGCTCTGGGGCTTACGATGCATGTGACCCCTGGGGCTGGCATGCGGTACATGCTGCCCATGGTGCCTTGGTTGGACATGGCACTGCATGGGGTCCAGGGTACTTGCTGTTTGGTGCCCTGGACTGACCCCCTGTGCAGTAACCTGCAGGGTGGATCATACAGCTCCATGTGCTGGGTCCAGGCCATATGTTTGACACCCCTGCTGTACATCTCCAGCAACATGGTGGGGTCTCACCTTTACCAGCTTAACTGCTCCTTCCCACTAAACCTTCCCACTAAACCTAATTTTCAATAAAAATGACAAAGTGTTGCTTTTAACAGTTCTGAAGCAACCATCAGTCTTATGTGCAATTGTCTCTTTATTCCAGTTAGATGCATTTTAATTTTCCCTCAACATATTTGAGCAGTGGGAATGGTTTAGTAGTCTTACATGACTAGAATCCCTGTAAATGCCCTCTAACAAGGCAACAGTTTTGGTTTTGTGTTGCACACTCCATAGCTATGGCCTACAATTAGGACACTAATAACATTACGACTCTTTGGTACTAAAAGTTCTTAATTTCTTTTCAAGACCTATAGAGTTTGTCAAAAGAGGGTTCTTATGGAGTTGGGACTTACAAGAACTTCAGTACCTCAGATTTTATTGGTCATATTCAGCCATGGAATAGCCTGGCTTGATGGAATGTGCCCTGTTGTTTGCTTGCTTGCTTGCTCCAGAGCTGAATTTGACCTTTGCTTGTTGTAACTCTCGAATATACATAAATGTCCTTTTCTGGAGAGCAGGAAGGGTCAAGATACCAGCCTGGACTTGGAAGACAAAGGTTCAAGTCCCTGCTCATCTTTGGATATCTAGGTGTCTAATTTCAGTTGAAATCAGTGGGCCTTAGTCTCCCTATTCCCTTAATTCACCATTTAAATAGAAGCCCCTATCTCACACAGGTGCCAGTGCAGAACTGTGAGGTCCTTTGACATGGCAATGGGGGGACCCTTTGGGTGCATAAAATAGATCTCTTCTGGAAAGAGATTCATATGTGGTTCCTTCTCCCCTCCAGGAAAGAAAAATACAACTTAAATTAAAAATGGAACAAGAGACTGTTTCCCTCTTCCACTTCTGAGGAGGACATTATCAATTTGTGGACTTATTTTGTTTCTGTAAAATCTATTTTCCAGGATTGCAAAAGGCCAAACAACCATCCAGGCCTAGTTGGCTTATTGGCCTAGCATGGTTAAGACATGCCCACAGTACATGAGGGAGGGATGCAACTAGTAGGGCTGTGCGAAGCTTCGGTGCCTGATTTGATTTGGCCCGATTTTGGTGGTCAAATCTCCAAATCAAATCAAAGGACCCTTTTAATCCTTCCGATTTCAGTTTGGACAGATTTGGCGATTCGGACATAGACACAGCTTTAAATTTGTTTTTTCTACATACCTCTAGGTAGCAGGGGCTCGTGATCGCTGCAGGGCTGGGGCAGATGGAGCATTCTACAGAAGCACGGGGGGGGGGGGGG